CTACATGAAAAAGAAAAATATTCAGTAGGAGTCATTATTTAAATTATAACTAAAATTTTCATTCTAAATATGTAAACTGGGACAGATACTTAGAGTAAATTATTCCAGTGTACCAATCATAACTCAAAGCCTGTACTATATTAAACAAAATGAAGTAATTAGGATAAGTGTACTTAAATAAACAAAACCTTTAAAAGCAAGAGGTACTTTTTTCAGTTTTGGGGCCACACCCAGCAGTTCTCTGGGTTTCTCCTGGCTCTGCACTCAAGAATCATTCCTGGCAGGCTTGGGGGGACCATATGGCATTTCGGAGATCAAACCCAGGTCAGCTGCCTGCAAGGCCAAGAGTCCTACCTGCTGTACTATCTCTCCAGTCCCAGCAAGAGGCACCTTTATCGTAATACAGATTATGATAAAATAATCTCCCCCCACTCCATTCCCATTCTAAATCAGTGTGTGCATTAGATTGGGGAGTGAAGCCAGGACAAAGAATATTGTTTTAGGTCTTAATAGATCCTCCAGAGACAGAGATGAAACCAACACTTGGGCAATAACTTCATGTTTTGTAAATGAAGAAATGGACATACCCCTTAGGTGATCTTAAGAGAACAACTAATTAGGCTTGGTGAGCAACTGTCTCAATGTACAAATTAACTCCTAACAGCAAAAGCTCAATCAATGTAACCTGCCTCTCAGGAACCAGAGAAGCGATCAGTTAATTGGTAGCTTTAAAAAAATTTATGGTTTTCAAACAGATTAACTACCTCAGACCAAGTCCCATTAGGAGTTTAGATGTTAATTCTGGCATCTAAACAAAGTCATCAGTCTCTAAAAGGAACCCAAATAAGCATTTTAGAGTACTTTAAAAGAAGACTAACTTCCTATTTATAACAATGATGATATATATACTAACTTCTCATGATAGGAAATATGACTTCCTAAAACTTGCTACAGTTCAAATGAATTGGAAATTAAGAGAGAAGGAAAAAAGGAAGACAGGTCAAAAGGAATAGAGGACAGATTTAGAAGTAAAACTAATGTGGCAACTTCTTCACCTAAGTTAGTAAAGTACAGTAACTTACAATAAGTGAATTAGTGAGTTTATAGGCAGTAAACTGGATAAAAAGTTACACTGTGCACATGTGTATCACTATATTAAGAATATAGAGTAAGACCATTCCCCCCTCCAAAAATTAGAGGACCCTCAAAGATTAACCACTTTAGAATTACAATCTGGTTGCAACCCCAGACTAAGTGAATTACAGTTTCTGGGGCTGGAATCCAGTCATCTATATTTTGTAGAGGTCCCCAAGAGATTACAAAGTGCAGTCAAGATTGAGAACCACTGCCTTTAACTTTAGAAGAAAAAAAAAGCAATAAAAAAGATAAATCCAAAATGGTTACAAGTTTTCCAAACTGTGACAAACAAAACAAAAAAAATTATTCAAATATAATTAATGAGATACAGTCCTTGAGCTCAAAGGAATTTAAATTACCAACTATTGCAAATTGATTAAGATGTAACAATAGACACTCTTTGTAACTAAATAGTCTCTAGCAGTTATCAATCTGATCTAATGTATAATTTCCAGTAGAAAATAATTAAGACAAGATTCTGAGCATCATCTTAGTTTTTACATACATAAGCATTACCCTAGTTTTTATCCAACTCATGATTAAAACAAATTTTCTCAGATGCCAATCACACCACAGAATAGTGTCAAGGTGACACAACCGAAAATACCTTGTTCCTGAGAAACTGAAATTCAGCCACATTTTCCATTGCCAAAATTACACATTTTATAATGAGAAAAAAAATCCAAAAATTCTAAATCTGACTCATAATCAAGTATGTGTTTAAAGGGACTAGGAATGGCTTTTGGGTAAATTGCACGTTTCTGTGCAAGAGAAGACACTGGGGGGGTGTAAGTTATACATACAACAGAGATAAATTTTTGGCATATTATGATGCTGCAAATGGTATCAGTGGTCAAAGTGAAAATCTTAACCTTCCGTGTCAACAGTTTGAATTTCTAGTTTAAATAATTTTTCATCTCTTGTTGGGCAGAAAGCCTAAAATTAGATCATGAAACAAAACTGAACTAAATTCTGTGCTACACTGCTCTAATACCTACAGTGTGTAAAGTAACGAAAGTTAGTTGTATACATGATCTAAGCATGATCTCTCAGTCACCTTTATCAATTAAGCAAAACAAAGATTTATCACAACTACACAATTTCAAGGGGAAAAAGGCAATCAAACGTGCGCAATAACCACTGAAGTTTTATAAAGTTTAGGGGCCAGAGAGTCAGCAGTTGCCTTGCAAGCAACTGCTTGCACCCCATGCGGTCCCTGGAGCTCTGCCAAAAATGATCCCTGAGCACAGCGCCAGGAGTAAAGCACTGGGCACCACCAACCATCACTCCAGTACCAAAATGATAATGATAATGATGATGATCATGGTGATGTTTAAAGAACCATCCACTCTAAAAACGCTGAGTGAAAAAACAAAAAGCAATGTTAGGCACTAGCTAGACAGAGGACAAAATAAATCTGGAGTAGAATAATAATTTAAACATAGTACAAGAAAAATGTACTCTATTCTCACCAAAACAGACCGTTTTAGACAAGACTAAAAATGCATGCTCAATTACTGGGAGAGACAGATCCTACAGGGTTAACTGCCCTGTAGAGGCCTCAGCAATTCACAGCTCAATTAGAATAGTGTCTAATGATGTTACTATAACACCGGCTCAATCAGATAAAACAGCTTTCAAGCTGGAGAGCTCGAGTGTGACTGGGCAGCATAAATTACTTTAAGACTCGCTCTTTAATTTGGGGGGGAGGAAAACCAAAGGGGAATGAAAAGAAATTTTTTTTTACGAATTCACACACAAATTGAGAAACAATAGCCCAAAGACAATGCATTTTACACATAAGTTTTTGAAACTAAGATTTGCTGCTTCCTTGTATAAGCAAAAATGCTCCACACAGCAAATCCGTCAGAAAAGGTCAATGATCCACATAAAACTTCACTCGAGATCATTTCAGTGACTTTCTTCTGAGTACAAACTTTCATTAGATCTAGAAGCAGTTAACATTTTTTCCCCTAAGATTTACAATGTGTATATTTAAACAGAGAAGTTTCTATTTAGGCACTCTGGCTTCAAAATTTTAAAAATGAAGATGCCATGCCTCTTTAAAAGCAACCTTACCCAAAATCCTGGAAAGCAATGTTGTTTTAAAAGGGCGCTTACAGTAATAGATTCCTCACAAAATGATGTATCAATTTTCTCTAGAAAGGCTTTTGGTTTTAATTCCAACAACTTAAGCCTACAAAATTCATTCACCTTTAAGCCTAAACTTAATACTCCCAAGTCTTGCAACGCTTAGCTCGGCTTGCCTATATCATAGTTGTTCTGTAACAAACCCACAGCAAGAAAACAAAATCCTGGGAATAGAATGCAAGATACACTTAAAGGGAAATCATCTTAAAACGTTAATTATCCCGACCGTTTAGTACTCAATCCTGTACTCACCCAAACAGGTTTTTTTTTTAAAAAAAAAAAATGGGGGTCTCTAAGTAGAAAAAGTTAAGCTTTCGAATTCCCGATCTATTTCATCGGATTTTTTTAAAAAAAAAAAATACTCAGTCTCGGTACAACAAAGGAAAGGCAACTTACAAAACCTGCTGTGTATAAAAAAAAAAATCATTCAAACTCAACGTTCTACATCCAATCGCTTTGTGAACGTTGAAGCATCCCTGTACCTTGCTTGTTGGCGACCAAATGGTTTCTGCCAGCAAAATGAAAAAAAAAGAAAGCACTGAATCTACTTTTCAAAATACAGATTAACCAGGCTGCTGCTGAGACAACTAACAAGACGGTAACTCAGGCAAAAAAAAAAAAAAAAGTGAAAAAGATTCTAGACGAAATTTCGCCAAGACACACGCACAAGTCTTTCGGGGACAAAAAAAAAAAAGTCGAGGCGGACTCGCAAAAGCTGCTTCCCATCAGAGTCCGGCGTTTCTCTCGCTCGCGGGGCTCCACAACCAACCAACCAACCAAGCAACGGGCCGTGTTCAACCTCACGGGCACGGAATCGAGGGTCCCTGATGCCTTCGGGGACCAGGCGCGGGCGACCCGGGCTTCTCAGAGGAAGGACTGGGGCTCGGCCGGGCGCCCCCCCCCCCGCAAGAAACCTGTCACGGCCCACGACACACGCAACACACACACAAAAGCGCGCGCGCGTGCACACGCACCGGTGGCCGGGCCCCGCTCTCACGGCCCGGGGCGGGGGTCCACCCCCCCCATACGCGCCGCGCCGCGAAGTAAACAAACCCCCCGCCAGAGCCGCCCCCCGGGGCAGGCGCCGGGCCGCGGGCGACCGGGACGGGACAAAGCGCCGGCCCGGCCGGGGTCCCCCGAGGAGCGCCGCGGGCTCGGGCTCGGGCTCGGGCTCGGGCTCGCGCCGCGGGCCGGGCGGCGGGGCTCGGGGTGGGGGGGGCGGCCCCCCGGCGCGGCCGGGAAACTCCGCCGCCAACAACAAAGAGCGGCCGAGGGGAACTCGGGGGCCCGCCGAGCGCGAGGCTCGGGCCGGAGGGCGCGATCCCGGCGGCGGCGGCGGCGGCGGCGGCGGCTGCCGCTTCCCCCCCCGCCCCGTTCCCCCGCGGGAGGCCCAGCCCGGCCCGACCCGACCCGACCCGCCCGCCGGGGCCTTCGGGTCGCCGCCTCGGGACGAGACGGGACGGCCCGGCCGCCCGCGCGCGCGCTCCCCGCCGCCCGCAGCCCGCCCCGGGGCGGGGTCCGCGCGGGCCCCGAGCGGGCCGAGGGGAGGGGACCCGGGGCGCGTTACCTGGACGCGGGCGCTGGCCGGGGGACGCCGCCGCCGCCGCTCTGCCTCCGCCGCCGCCGCCGCCGCCGCCGCAGCTCGTCCGCGGGGGCGCCGGGCCCGTCGCTCCGCCCGCGGCCCCGCAGCGCGCCTCCGCCCCCGCCCTGAGGCGTCCGAGCCGGGCCGCCCCTCGCTGGGCGCCGCGCCGCTGCCCGCGCGGGCCGGGCCGCCTCGAGCTCCCGGGCCGCCCCGCGGCGGGGGGCGGAGTGTGCGGGCCGGGGTGGAGCGGCCGGCGGGCGGGGGGAGCCGGGGCCTCTCGGCCGCTCCCGCCCCCGGGAAGGCCGCGCGCAGCCCCGGGCCGGGCGGAAGGCGCCTCGGCGCCGACAGCCAGCGGGCCGGAGCGCGGGCTCCGCCGCCACCCGAGCCGCCCCGTTACCGCAGCGGCGGCGACGACCGCGGCCGTGTTGTTGCTGCCAACTTGTCGGGCGGCTACTGAGCATGCGCGCGCGGAGACCACATCCGGGTAATTTCAGGGTTTGGCCCTTTCTCCCCCCCCCCCCCCGCCCCCCCCCCACTCCGCCCCGCGCAGCTTTCCTTTCTCCTGCCCGCCCCCGCCTCCCTGCCCCGAGTGACGGGAGGGAGGGTCCCTCTGCGCAGGCGCTCACCGAGCGGCCCGGGACTCCGGGCCTGGGCCCCGGCGCGGGCCGCGCGCGCGGCGCCCGTGGACCTAGAGGCCCGCGGCCGAAGGCGGAAAAGTGCCCCGAGCAGCGCGTGCGAGGCAACTCGGGCAGCCACGTCCAGGAATGCCTTTCTCAAGGACCAGCGGCCCCGGCCTGCTTTTTTTTTTTTTTTTTTTTTTGGAGGAGCTGGCGAGCTTCGGGAGGAGCGTGGGGTGGGGAAAGACTCTGTTTTCTTTCCATCGGCGCCGGCATCAACTCGGTTGGTTGGAAGGTGCATAAACGCCGCTCAGACCTCACACCCCCACCACGCCCCCTTGGGTTGGGGAGTTGGCGCCGGGCAGCCAAAGAGCCACACGGACGGACTGACGGATGGACAGACGTCCGTGCGCCTGGCCGGGTGTCACGAAAAGTGGGTGGTTCCCATCGGGTGGGAGATTTGATGGGAACCTCTGATTTGGAAAGGAATTTCGAGGCACCGACCGCCACGAGGAAGAGGCAATTACTGTGCTTTTTGACACGACCCTTTTCTGAGCTGAAATTTTCACAGGACGATGTATTATTTCAAAGTTTCAGAAAACATATTTGAGCGGACTAGGAAATCCTTCTGTCGCGTGTCCCGTCAAGACAATCAGCAAGTTGCACAGGCTTTCTTTTGGAGGACTGGGGCTGACTACCTCGGGGGTCCTCGGGGGTTACCCCTGACAGTCGGATTCCTTCCTGGCATTGCCTGGGGGCCCAGCCCCGTCTCCTGCTGCAGACACTGTGCGCTGCTGCCCACTGAGTGGTCTCTCCGCCCCCCTAAAATCATTTCTGAAAACTTGTTGCCCAGAAACTGTCGCCCTACCGGCTTGCCACACACAACTGTCTCACCCACTGAGCTCCACTGCCCCCCTCCTAGTCCTCACAAGTGGGTCTCCTCTCTGGTACCCGAGAACCTCTTAAACCGTCTTCAAACTGGGATCGTGGAGACTGTCCAACCCTAGTTCCAAGGGAATCCATTTCCAGATCTTCCACTGCTTCATGTTCAAAAATTGTACGGGGCCACAACTGCACCCCTACTTTTTTGTGTTTGGGGGCCACACCAGGCAGTGCTCAGGGCTTACTCCTGGCTCTGTCTTGAGGGATCACTCATGGCAGAATTCAGGGGATCATATGTGGTCCCTGGAATGGAAGGTGGGACAGGGGTGCAAGGCAAGCGCCTTACTGTGCTGTATTATCTCTCCAGCTCTTTTAAAATTGTCCTCCCAACTTATAAAGGAAAATCAAGCTCTCAGTCATTACTAAGCTGCACTGGCCCAAGGCTTTTAGTAAAACTGCAAAGCGGTTCAAAGGGATAATTCAGAAATTTCTGTCTGTGCTGAGAGAGTGACTGATCCAAATGAATGGGTCGTAAATTCTTTTGCTACTCATTTTCCTTCTTTGCTACCAATAAAATTAACACGTTGGCACTGATGCTGCAATTTGGGTTAATGACCCACATCCAAGTGTGAGCCACTGGTGGTACTCACCAACATCAGTGTGTTCAAGTAGAGACCAAAATGGCCATGAGACTGGCAGCCTTCTTCAAGGATTCCTGGGCCAAGGAGGTGGAGTGGGTCGCATCCATCGCTATTACAGGCCTTGCTACTCCACCGAACCCTAAACCAAGTACCCATTGTGACCAAAGAGATCATACCCTACAACTCCCCAGTGCCTGTCTGAGATGAGAGGAACAAGCTCAGTGTGCCATCACCAACATGCCAGCCACCTGCCCCAGACCTCCAAGGTCAGGTTTAGAATGGCTAAAGACACTCTGAGTCCTGTTGACAGGGAGGAGCTCCCTCCCCCAGGATTTCCAATAAAAGTCTAGGGGAGTTGATAATAGGGCAATGTATGATTCTTAGGTGATATGTCTCTAAAGGAGTTTAAGGGACTGGCAAAATGGCTCTAACTCGCCTCCCTTTCCCATTCTGTATTCATTACCTATTAGATCAAGTGTTCCCACAGATTGTGCAGCTTAAAATAACACACGCATATTGGCTCCCAGTTTCTGTGAGTCAGGGATCTAGCCATGACTCAGTTGGGTCCACTGCAAGACTGCAAAGTAAGACTTCACTGGGAAGGCACTTCTGAGATCCAGTGATGGCTGGTAGCACTCACTTGCAGGCTGCAGGAGAGGTCCTTTGTCCTTGGCTTGCAGTTTGCTGAGGCCCCCTCTGTTCTTTGGCAGGTGACCATTTCCATAGGGAAACTCATAAATATCTCAGCTTCTTCAAAGCCAGCAAGGTGGTAGGTCATTAACATTGGTATACATTATCACATCTATCCTTTCATTTTGGCCTTCCTCTTTTGGTCAGAAGCAGACCACGAGTGCCCTCCACGCCCCCACTCCCAGACCCCCTCCCACACCACCACATAGAGACACACACAATGGCATGAACCCAGGCAGGGAATGTGTGAGGTAACATTAGAGTTTCTAGGATATTGATTATTTATGCGAATGAGAGGTCCTAAAATCTCCCCCACCTCAGGATTTCTCCTTGGGTCCCTTCCATTTCTTGCCGAGGGGACACCTGACTGTTGTATGGACTGCTGCTCTCTCGTCCCCCTCTCAAGTAGGAGCAACTGGGTTTTCAAAAAGGAACCTCCTAGGCTGTGCCCAAAGGTGAAATAGGTGCCCTCTTTGCTCCACAATATTGCCCCTCTTGGGGCTGGAGCAATAGTACAGTGAGTAGGGTGTTTGCCTTGCATGCAGCCAACCCAGGTTCAATTCCCAGCATCCCATAAGGTCCCCTGAGCACCTCCAGGAGTCATTCCTGAGTGCAAAGCCAGGAGTAGCCCCTGTGCATCACCAAGTGTGACCCAAAAAAGCAAAAAAAAATACTATATATATATATATATATATATATCCTCTCAACCATTGGCCCTTTCCTCCCTATTAGCCTGTACCATTAGATATTGTTATCTTGCATCCCTTACCATCGCTCACATTCACCTTCACTTTTCATCATTTGCTCTTGTTAATTTCACCAATATTACATCCACCTAACTCCTATATGGTAGAATGCACACTAGGTGATCGCCAATACTCTGGCTTCTAAAACCCTTGACAGAATTGTTAAGAATTTCATCCTATCCCACCTTGCCATTCATGCCCATAGGTGATCAAAGAAGCCTGGTCAGACTCTGTATCTTCAGAATCACAAATCAATGCATCTCACATTCTGAACACCTTCTGTTTTCATATTTCCCTGCAACAACTGTCCAGGCCACATAGTCTCTCACACTCAGCTTAAGTAACTGGCCAATCATTTGACCACCTACTTTGCACACGTCCTCAATCCTCTTCTTACACCCTTCTTACACCCACCACCCTTTGTCTTGCTTGCTGGGCAAAGCCACCATCAAGATTATGTCCAGGGGCTGGAGCAATAGCACAGCGGGTAGAGCGTTTGCCCTGCACATGGCTGACCCAGGTTCAATTCCCAGCATCCCATATGGCACCCCGAGCACCGCCAGGAGTGATTCCTGAGTGTATGAACCAGGAGTAACTCCTGTGCATTGCCGGGTGTGACCCAAAAAAGGAAAAAAAAATATTACGTCCAGCTCTCCATGCACTCCAGCCAACACTCATGCACGCAAACTTGGCTAGAGAAAAGCACCCCCATACTGACTTACTTTGTTTTTATTTTATCACCCAAACCTCAAATGGGCCCTTACTGTGTCTTGGAATCCCACCTCCCTCCTTCATTCCTCTAGACTTTCCACATGCTCTGTCCCCTAGTCTTCCAATAATTCTCATTCTCAATTAAAACCCTTGCTTCCCATTTCACTGAGAGAAGCAAAGTGTTGAGATAAATGCTTCCACAGAGTTCCCGTCTCTTCTCTCCCTCCCCCCGCCTCCAACATCTACCAACTCTTTCACCTTCCCTCCATACCTGTATATACACTCCTTGGTCATTCAGCAAAGGTCAGATCCGAATTTTACCCTGTCTGTCAAGATCTTCACCATCACTCCAACAATTATCCTTCATAGTCTATATTATCAGTGTTTATAACATTTTGTGTTGGGCTTGAGGCTTCACCAGGGTCACTCAACAGTGCTCCATGGCAATGTGGTGCTGAATTCTGGCCTCGCACATGCAAAGAAGGGCATTAATATGCATTAGTCCTTTGAGCCCACTTTTTAAATTGTGTCTTTCCATCTTTTTGTTTTGTTTTGGGGCCACATCTGGTGATGCTCAGGGATTATTCCTGGTTCTGCACCCAGGAATTAGTCCTGGTGGTACTCAGGGGATCATATGGAGTCCCAGGGAACTGAACCTGAGTTCGCCACATGCAAGGTCACACCCTATTCACTGTACTATTGCTCCATTCCCACCCCCCATCATTTTCCCTTCTATAGTACTGGGGATTAAATTCAGGGCTATATACATGTGCTCTAACATTAAGATATATCACAGGTCCCATTCCCATAATTTTATTTTATTTATTTATTTATTTTTTGCTTTTTGGGTCACACCCGGCAATGCACAGGGGTTACTCCTGGCTCTGCGCTCAGGAATTACTCCTGGCGGTGCTCAGGGGACCATATGGGATGCTGGGAATCGAACCCGGGCTGGCCGCGTGCAAGGCAAACGCCCTACCCGCTGTGCTATACCATTTACATAATTTTAAAAGCAGCTATTATTTCTCCAAATCCACAAGATCTTTTCTTTTAACTTGCCTGTACTATAAGCTGCTGTCCAATTCCTCTGTACTTTGCAACAAAACTAAAATAGTTTGCTGCCTCTAACTCTTCTCTTATTCTTCATCCTTGAATATAGGCCATAGGATACAGTTTATATGAAATTAGAAAACATGACATACCATGTGTCCAGGTACATATGTACTAGACATGACAATTACATATGTGTCATCTTTCAGTGCTCCTGCTGAGAAGGTCCCCTACCCTCTCTTAAGTTCACCCTCATGCTATCAAATTTTTTTTTTAATAGGGACACAGTCAGGGTATTCAGGGCCAAGGGTCATGCCAGTGATGCTGGGGATAGGGGGTGGGCATTGGATTGAACTCAGGGTTCAATAACTGGTAACCCATATTCCTGGCCCCTCAAAACTGTTCTTGTTGAAAAGGTAATACCACAGAGGCAGGGTGGGATGGAGGGATGGGGGGTGGGAGGGATATTGGGACCCATGGCACTGGTGGAGGGATGGGTGTTTGATCATTATACAATTGAAACCCAAGCACAAAAATTTGTAAATCTACAACTGTATCTCATGGTGTTTAACTAACAAATTTTTTAAAAAATGTAAGTGATGGAGAATGGGCACTGGTGGAGGGAAGGGTACTAGATCATTGTATAACTGAAATCCAAGCACAAAAATGTGTAAGTCTACAACTGTACTTCATGGTGTTTCACTAATAAAAATTTTTTAAAAAACTGTTCTTGTTGAGGTCACATTGCCCAAGTTTGATAATGTTCTCAGCACTCCTCATTTAATTTCACTGTCTATAACAATTGACACAGTTAATCCTGGCTCACCTCTGGCTTTTCCTCCTTCCCTGTCTTCTTTCTTCTGTGCTGATTCCATCTCTTCCCTCTTCCCTCGGGCTCCTTAACCTTGCTGTGACACACAGCTCATTCCTTGGCTTTCTTCTATTCTATCTATATTCATTTCATTGGTGATCTCATCAAGCCTCCTGACTTTTAATATTTATACCATCATCTAAGATTTATGATATCACCATCTATGATGACAACTCTCAGATATATATCTTGCACTCAGATCAGACCTCTTATCTGAGCTCCAGATTCTGATGTCCAGCAGTCTGCTGGGCATCTCAGCCTTCATATGCATTCACGTGACTCTTTCTCAACCCACTCCAGCCCCCTGACTGTCCCATCTCAGTTTCTGACAAGCTCCTCCCTCAGGTTCCTCAGCCCAGAATCCCAACAGTCAGGTGGACTTCCCCTTCCTTTGGCCTCTCCTGTCCAGTAGAGAATCAGAGCACCCGCCCCACCTCCACTGCTTCCTCTGATGGGGAACCCACCATCACCCCATCTGGGCTTCGTCTTCTAAAGCTCTCCCTGCTCTTATTCTTGCCCCTTAGAGTCTAGTCTCAATGGAATAACCAGAGTGATCCTCCCAAAATTGAAGTCACATGTTGCCCTTCGGTTTAAACATCTGCAATCCCTGGGTTCCCTGGCACTTCCTGACTCCTGCCCTTCCCAGTCCCCCTTAGTACTGCTGGTGTGGTGCTAGGCCCTGAGTACCAGTGAGGGTAGACCCTATTTTATTTTAAAGAATTTTGATAGAATAGTAAGGATGACAGCATGAATGAATGAGCTGTAGAGGGTGGGAGACTGTCGCAGCAGAAGATACTTGACATGTGTGATCTGCATGTGTAGATATGATTGTAGCATAAATATCTCTGGCTTAGAAGTATGCATAGTAGGGTTCCACCCAAGTCTGGATCATTCTCTTTCTAACCCCATCTGCTGTGTTTCATAAGGCTGTGACTCTGCTACAGCCTTATCATCACCTCCACCTTGGGGATGTCAGTTATGTCCAAGATAGGACCTTTGTTTTAGCTGCTTCCTCTTCCTGGGACACATTTCCCTAGACAACTGCACTGCTAACTACCTCACCCATTCTGGTGTTATGTGACCTCCTCAATGAATCCCTCCACCCCCCACTTTTTAAAAACTACAACCTGGGGCCAAAGAGATAGTTTAGGAGTTAAGGCATGCATCCTGCATATGGTGGACCAGTTTGACCCCTAACTCATAATCCCCAAGTATCACCAGGTGTAGGTCCAAAAGCCCCTGAGCATAGCTGGGTGATCCAGATAATCCCCATCACTATATCCTTGGACCCTCATATTGAGCAGTCGGTCTGGCTGGCCCAGAATCACTGAGAGGGGCCCCAAGCTCACGTGAGCACTGCTTAGGTGATGCCTCCACCAAGAAGGATGAAAAGACAATAGAATAAGCACAAACACACCCAAAATCAAAATCTATTCTACACCTCACTCTACACCCCAGGCCCCACTTAATCTCTTCTATCTTTTCCTATAACTCTTCTCACATTGTATAACTCACATCTGTAGTATGTTTATCTCTTGTTGTCTGTCAACCCCACTAGAGAGTAAGCTCCATGGGGGAATATTTCTCTCTAATATTTATTTTCTCATGTAGCCCAAAGTTTTGAAGAGCAATTGAGACTTACAAGGTGCTCAGTAAATATTTGCTGAATGAACAAATAAGATGTTTCATGCTTTTAGCCATAAAAATGAAAACTAGGAAGAATTCTAAATTGTTTCAAATTAATTCTGGCCAAAGTGTTCTCACTTTATTTTAGTAGTTTATAAAAAAAATGTGTAATAGTTGATGTTGTTTAGGCTCAATTAGGTATCCAGCATTGTATTGATAATACAATCAAGATATATTTTTAAACTTAGAAACTCAGAGATTTTTAAAAACATTTTTAGGTGAGGGAAATATGATAATCTAATCAATAAAAGACTTTCCAGTCTTATATTAAAATGAGCAGGGGCTAGGGAAGCAGAAAAACAAGATAAGGAGAAAATTGAGTGATATAAAATTTCTCTTAAAGAAAAGCTTGTTCATGTATTTTTAAATGGATGATAGATGCATTATGATATTTAAATTCCCTTGGATACACTTAAGAAATGATGTAACAATCTTATTTTTAAATGCCAATACAATTCCATGCCAGAAATAACAAATTTTGCCGTTATTTAAGCTTATGATAAAACATTATTGATATGACCTTTAAAATGTACAAAAAAGAAAAACAGTTTCTCAAATTTCTTTGAGGAAGTGACCACGCAAGAACTTTTGAAGGCCACGACCCTCAAAACGCTAACAAGGAGCTAAATTACCTCCTTTCCCAGGATTTTTCCAGGAGAAACAGCTCAGTTCCCAGAACCATCTTTGGTGTGGGCAGCCTTTGGTGTGGGCATGAGAGCCCTCTTTTTCTTTTGTTTTCTTTGATGACTGCACCTTACTGTGAATTGGAACTTCCTACAGGATAAGAAGAATGCAGAGTTTTCATCTTCTCCTAGACTGGAGACCCACCTTTAGCTCTGCCCATGGAAGAAGAAATGGAACAGAATAATAATGTGAAAAGGATCCAGCAGCAGAAAGCTCCAGGCATCCTTGAGCATTAGGACCTTTTATAATTGACCCAAACAAGAAAGAAGGAAAGATAAAAATAATAATAATCTAAGGGCTGGAGACATAGGTTAGGGGTTAAGGCATTTGCCTTGCAGGCAGTCAACACTGGCTTGATTCCTGGCACTGCCAGGAGTGATCCTGAGTACAGAACCAGGAGTAAACCCTGGGCCATACCCTGAATCAGCTGAGTGTGCCTCCCCCCCATCAAAATCACTCAAATAATTATGTAGGAAGTCATATTTGAGGGTGACTGCTGTACATGTGACTCCCAAGTGATCTGTTTTAGCTTTGTTCTAGTGATTAGCTTTGTCACTGTACAGTGATTTGTTTTAGCTTTAGAGGAGATCAAAGACTTGATAAGGAAAAGTGAAGCCAGTGCTCTACTTTTTAATATATTATTTACTTATTCATTTTGCTTTGTTTGTTTGGGAGTCACACCTGGTGACAGTCAGGACTTACTCCTGGCTCTGCACTCAGGAATGACTGCTGGCGGTATTCACAAGACCATATGGGATACCAGGGCTTGAACCCTGGTCTGCCAGGTGTAAGGCAAGCACCCTCCCTGCTGGACCATCGCTCCTGCTTATTCACTTTTTGCTATCCATGCCAGAGCCAGCAAGGGTTGCATGGCAGCTGGAGATAGAATCCCAGAGTGGGGAAGGGGTGGAGGCAGGAAGGAAGGAATAGGAGGGAGGGGAAGGAAATCACAGCCCACCTTTGTGTGGCAGTGTCAAAGCAGTAACCGAGGTTGGAAGGCAGCTGAAAGTGAGGGGCAAGAGCTGTGCAGTGACCCCAGAATAGCCCTCACCATTTACTCATTTTGTGAGTGTTCTAGTTAGCACCTACCAGGCCCAAGTACAAAGAGTTGAGAGGTAGAGCTACGGCACATGCCCATGGGGAACTTCAGCTTAGCGGACAAAAAATACAGTATTCCCAGACCATTCTAACAGTAAGGGAGCACGGGAGCACTGTTAAGAGCAAAGAGAAGAAGCGTCCTCATCTTTTTTTTTTTTTTTTTTTGCTTTTTGGGTCATACCCAACAATGCTCAGGGGGTTACTCCTGGCTCTGCACTCAGGAATTACTCCTGGCAGTGCTGGGGAAACCATATGGAATGCTGGGGATCGAATTCTGGTCGGCCGTGTGCAAGGCAAACACCCTACCCCGCTGTACTATCGCTCCAGCTCAGGGGCGTCTTCATCTTGCATGAGGAGTTTAAGAAGATTTTACCAAAAAAGTGACACGTGAGCTGAATCGTGAGGTAAAGCAGGAGTTTGCCAGTGAAAAAGAGAACAAGCCGGGACTTTCACCGCAGAGAAACTGGCCTAGAGATATGAAAGTGTTTGATGGTGTGTTTGTGGAGTAGTTGTTGTTTTTAATTTAAGTCAGTTATATAGCCATAGATATACTGACCAAATATAAAATAAAAATATCACATATAGGAGGTTATACATGACTGCATTACAAATTACTCAAATAATTGCGGCTGGAGCTATAATACAGTGGGCAGGGCACTTGGCTTGCATGCGGCCCACCCAAGTTTGATTCCGGGCATCCCTATGGTCCCCTGAGAACCGCAGGAATAATTAGTGAGTGCATAGCAAGAAGTAACCCCTGAACATTGCTGGGTTTCTGAGTGCCCCCCGCCAAATACCCAAATGATTATTGAAAGGGTCCTAGATAGATGATGGCACGAAGGAACAACATGGAAATATAAAATAGAGTGATATTTTTTACTGTATCTATAAAGAAAGATCTTGAAGGTTTATTGCCACATAAAACATGGCCTAGAATAATTTGTATACTGCATATCATTTGTATGAGGAGCAAAAATAATATTTACAACAACTATGGTTGGATGGAGTGGGGTTGAAAACCAGGCAGACAGTTACTATAAACCTACAGCTAACATTATATCCAATGGTGAACTTTTCTCTGAGATCAAGCACAAATTAAAGATATCTGCTCTCAGCACTATTATCCAACACAATATTGGAAGTCCTTTCCCTGGCATTAGACAAGAAAGACTTATTTAGGGGCTGCAGATTGGCAAAGAAGAAGCCAAACTAATGCACTATTTGCAGATGACATGATATTAGAATCAGATATTAGTAACCCCTGCCCACTCACCCTTCCCTGCAACTCTACCAAACTCTAGAAAAACTCTAGCACACTCTACCAAAAAACTAGGTTCAAACTTGCAGTTCAAAGTGACTGCGGTGTAAGTTATTCCTCTCCTTTCCGAGTCTGTGATCCTGCAGCAGAGACAGCTCAAGGGGCGAGAGCATGTGCTTCGCATGCAGGAGGCCCTGGTTCCATCGCCAGCACCACCTGGTCCCTGCGCAGCTTGTTGGTTCCGGCTGGGCTCCCTTCCTTCTTCTCCCAGGCCAAGCTGTGAATTCCGGAGGAATGGTCCTCTCCTCTCACTTTCCCCATATGCTTCCAAGAGGCCTTGCACGGAGCAGGTGTTAAAGGATGCTTGTTGAGTGAATGCCTGGCACAGAGAGGAGGATGCTGAGGCTGGACAGAGATGTGGGGCTAGACGTGGGGCTAGACAGTGCAGGGAAACTTCTCGTAGTTGGATTCCACTGGGAGTCAGTTACATCGGGGTTGCTTTTTATTTCCTTTCTGTTTTGTTTATTGAGGTACATGATTAAACTTTTTCAAGCACGGAGCTAATGAGTTTGGGTCAATGATGCTCCATGTAACCACCACCACAGCCAAGTTTGAGGGCCTTTCATCACTGCTCAAGCTCCCTTGTGTCCTTTGACAATTGGTCCATAGTCTCACCCTCCTGGCCCCAGGCCACTACTGACAGGCTTCCTGTTGCTAAGGTGGATTTTTCCCTAGAATTTCATATAAATGGAATTTTACAGTGTACAGGTTTTTGCATGTATTTAGATTTTTTTCACTCTGCATGGTATCATTTGTTTGTGTGTGTATGAGGGGGGATTCTTGTTGTTTGTGTGTGGGGGGGGGGTTCTTGTTGTTTGTGTGTGGGGGGGTTCTTGTTGTTTGTGTGTGTGTGTGTGTGTGTGCGTGTGTGTTGACCACATTCTGCAATACTCAGGGGCTTACTGCTGGCTCTGTCCTCAGGAATTACTACTCCTGGTGGTGCTTGAGGGACCATATGGGATGCTGGGGATTGAACCCAGGTCTGCCCCACATGCAAGGCAAGCACCATATGGGCAGAACTATCTCCTCAGTCCCCAGCATGATGTTTTTGAGATGCAAATGTTTTTGTAAGTATTTGTAGTTCCTGCTCATTTGTTAGCTATATTTTATTGTATTGTATGAGAGCCAAATTCAGAGGAACAAAAAGTAGATTAGTGGTTGTGGGGGATAGGAGGAGGAAATTGGGAGAAATTCGGATTCTTTGGGGGGATATTGGAAATATCCTGAGATTAGATTGTAGTGATGGTAGTGGAAACCATCCTTTTGTTGAAAGACACTGGGTTGTATTCTTAAAAATGGTGAATTCATAGGAACAAAGAGCCCAGTGATAGTTGTTTAGGGCTGAGTTTGGGGGAAATGGGGAGTTGGTCGTCAAAGGACACAAATCTGCAGTTTCACAAGTAAGCTCTAGGGATCTGCCAAATGGCGTGGAGACCCTCCTTAACAATATTGGATTAGATACTTGAAAGTTGCTGGGATCCATCTTCAATTGAAGAGAACATTTACATTGGAGATAAGCATTGCTAACATGCTTACTAATCAGATAACCTCTGTGCAGACAGGCAATTTTGTTAGTCATGTCCCTACCCGGGAAGGGACAAATTGTGTGAAGTCTCTGTTTCAGTCTGTCTGTCTGTCTGTGAACTGAGGTTGACAACAGACGGGTGCCCCTGAGCTGTGGAGAGGCCACTTGAGACATGTGTGCAATCCTTTAGCCTGGGGTGTGTTGTCTGAGCTGTTAGCTGCTTGTTTATCCCAGTCGCACCCACCGTGTCAAACTTACTGTGAGTCTCATTTGGAGGCAACATAAAGCAGGAACTATTCTCAGTCTGGAGGTGGTGAAACCGAACCATCAGAGATGAAACAGAACTCACCCCAATTTTGAGGGATTTTCTATATTTTTCAAAGATGCCAGTGTTACGGCTGGAGCAATAGCACAGCAGGTAGGGCGTTTGCCTTGCACGCGGCCGACCCAGGTTCGATTTCAGCATCCCATATGGTCCCCTAAGCACTGCACTCAGGGGTAATTCCTGAGTCCAGAGCCAGAAGTAAGCTCTGTGCCTATGCATCGCCAGGTCTGAACCAAAAAACAAACAAACAAAAAAACCCCACAAAGATGTCAATATCCCAAAAGACCAGATCAGACTATGGAGACTTGTAGACTTGGCAGTTAAAGGGTGATCCAGAACTGGACATAGTGGACTGGGGTGGAGGAACCTATAAAGGCCGTGACTGGGGTAATTAACAAAACTGGAATATGGACTGTGGATGATCAGATACTGTAGGAATACTAGATTCCCAGCTTCTGAACCGGAGAGATGAAACAGAGGTTAAGGTAAGCTTGCCTTACATGTGGTTGACCCTGTTACAATCTCCAACATTGTAGAAGATCCCTCAAACTTGCCATCAGGGATTCCTGAGAAAAGAACCCTGAGCACCCGCCTTGGGTATGGTTCAACAGTAAAAGAAATAAATAATAAGTTCTTGCACTTTTGATAACTGTGGGTTGTAGGGCCAGCACTAGGGAGTGGCAAGCAAGACTACTAGGGTACAAAATTTAAGAAAGGTTTTAGGGGTCACTCACTCTATGTTGCCTCCAGCCCTGGGTCTTGCCATGATGTGTGGTTGCATAAGAGAATGCCCTGTTCTTGGGAAGTCCACGCTGAAGTATAATGGTGAAAGGCACAGCAATGCATGCAGCTAACCTTGATAATAACGTAGAGACAGTCAGAGAAAGTGATGACGTGTAGCGGCATCGTGTGAGTGGTGAAGTGGGTGAGGGGTAGACAGAACTTCTTTG